CATGCATATGAATAATTAAGAAATAAAAATAAATCTTTAAAAGAGAGTAAGAGTTTAAAAATTCATTTAGTCTTTAAGTGGTTGAATCTTTCTGTAGATCATTTGTCTTTGATTGAGACCAAGGGGTTAATTCAGTTTTGAGCTACATAATATAAGCCACAGGACATAGGTGAATAATAGCCCAAAGACCAACTATAGGTAGATTTTTATTTTAATGAATAGCATAAAACCATAGTTCACTAGAATAAGAATGTTTCTTAAGATAGGTTGATATTTCTTAGCAAAATCCTCATATATGTATATAGAGTGCTACTGAGTGAGAGCTCCAGTTTAACAGAATATTTCCTAAGTCCTCTTGCTGGAGAATTTGTTCAACAATGTCTCCTTTGTATAATTTATTTATGCAGTATCTTCATTATCTCAAAGCTGAGAGTTGAATATTCTTTTTTTTAAAGATTTATTTATTTATTTTATATATAGTGTTTCTGTCTGCATGCACACTTGCATGCCAGAGGAAAGCACCGGATCTCATTACAGATGGTTGTAAACCACCATGTTGTTGCTGGGAATCGAACTTAGGACCTCTGGAAGAACAGACTCTTAACCTCTCTCTGAGCCATCTCTCCAGCCCCACAGTTGAATATTCTTAATAAATCAACTTTTTTTTTCCCTTTCAGACAGGGTTTCATGTAGTTCAGGATGCCTTGAACTCCCAATGTAGTGAAAGATAACTTGAATTCCTTATCCTCCCATGCCTACCTCTCAAGTGCTAGGATCACAGACTTGTGCCACCATGCCTACTTTATGCATTGCTGGGGATGAAATACAAGGCTTCATGGATGCAGGTGGGTAAGCACAGCCAGTCAACTGACCTTTATCTATAGTCCTAAAACTGTGACTTCTTTCTTTTTCAAAATATTTTACTGTCAACTTCAATACAGGTACCCACAGACATCATAAGCACCTTATATACAGTTAACCTATTATACAAGTAGATATCTAGTAAATAGAAATCACTAGTTGTTAGAGATGTAAAATGATAGGATACAAACTAAGAAATACTAGCATGCCTGAATTTATTCATGCATATGTCAGCATATGGCATGGCAGTTCAGAGTAGGCAAGTTGGTTTATCCTGCTATTACTATTTATCAAAACCTCCCTTGAACCAACAGCAAAGAAGCAGTTAGTTTTGTCCTTGTCTTGAATACTTCTTGACTGTGACTGCTCCCAAAGTCATTAACATATGTAGAATTTTAGGCAATAAGTAAAACATTATTAAGACAATCTTATACCATATGCACATACAGTCAAAGAGCAAGCAGGTTAAATATGAGGAGAGCAGTACCTCCTTGTTTATGTATAGATGTATGGACACACACACACACACACACACACACACACACACACACACACTAGGGTTACACATATGCTTGGTAAGTGTCCTACTACAAAGCCACACCCCCGGCTCTATGTGCACTTTCAGGTGACAATGCTTAATATTTCTTTTCTCCAAACATTGTGAGTATGCTATGGAGGGTTTTCTGAGTTAGGCATAATAACTTGAGTGGTATTATTATTATCTTGGTTCATAAAATCTCTATACTGGTGCCATAAGCTTCTATTTGACAGAACAGTCATACTGACAATATTAATGCTACTACTATTCCTTTATGTTGGTCGATAAAGGGCTTTACTTACAATGCCAACTCTACTAACTCCCTTAAAACATACAGGAAGCTTATGAAAATCATCAACCTCTGCCACTAACATCAAATGACCCAGGGGTATCTAATATGAAATTGTCATTTCCAAAAAATTACCCCCAAAACAAAAAACTCCAGATCTTTTGATGGTATTAGAAAATATTCATGTAATATTTCCATATCCAATCTATATAAGAAGAAATTTTAAATGTGGGAGGTTCAGTTTTTTGATGAAACTATTAAGTCCCTGCCTGACTAGTTGGCAAAGAATGAAAAGTCACAAGCAAGGAAAAGGCAACCTTTTTAAAAGGGAAGAGAGGGAGAGAAAGAGAGAGAGGGGAGAGAGAAGAGAGAAAGGAATGAGAAAAGAGGAAAGAAAAGAGAGATGGGGAAAGAATGAAATGAGTTGCAGTGAATCCCACAGAGAAAAAGCAGCCCAGGAACAAACTAGCAATTGAGAGACAACTCAGAATCCAACATTATCCATGTTAGCTGCTAAGGAGCTTCCATCTCCATAGTGAGTGCTGAGCCAGAGAATCAGTAGGCTTATGGAACAAAACAGGTCCAAAGGCCTAAGTGGACAGGTGGCATGACTTTCCCAAAAGATCAGCCATTCCCCTTTGAAGTTTCTTTTGAGGTAGGTAATGGGTCAGCTGTCACACTGGCAATAGTAAGGCACTCTAGTTCCCAGCATGCTAAGCAGAAGTACTCAGAGGATAATTGCTGGGACTGAGAGGCATGTTTACTAGGACTTATAAAACTATGCAAAGCTATAGACGTCAAAAATTGTTTTGTCTTCTCTGTACTGTTTTCCCCCTTGTACTCTACTATCTGACCACCTGACAGCTAGAGGGCCAACACTCAAGCTATTACCAAGTCTGCTGTCCATCAATCAAATGAAACATCTATTCCTAAGTGGGTTTGGGGAGGAGATTGTGCCAACATCTCATTTAGGGGCTATTATTATTATTATTATTATTATTATTATTATACAATGAAGTATCTTTCCTGTTATAGGAATGTCAGGTCAACAATGGAGGGGCAATATTTAGCACAGGAAATCTTCCTGGTACCCCTGGAGTGTAAGGTGCCTTGACATGGTGCCCTTAACAGACTTGACTTCTGAAGAAAGGCAAAAGAAATAATCACTATGGTTCATATGAAAACCTGGAGCCTGCTATTCTGGGTGATCAATATCTATGTTACTCATGAGGCTCACCAGGCAATCCTCAGCTCTATAAACGGATGAGTGTCAAGTTCTTTAGTCGACAAGCTAGAAGACTCTTTATTGAATGCTAGCCTGCCACACTCAAAGCCTTCAGTGTACCAAGATGCCTATGGCAGAATGGATTCTGAGAAAGGAAATCATATGTAACCTTGGGGCTATATTTACTTTTAAAATGCTTCTAATTATGTTTAATACCAAGCTTATATTAAACATGAATTGCCACGGCATTAACTTTTTGAAAAATCATTTATAAGGAACTGGTGCACATAAGAAAAGAAAATATAGAGAAGAAAAGAGACATTTTTAATGACTGAAGGATAAACTGTAGCCTTCCTTCAGGGAAGTAGATGCTGGGAAATCCTCAGATCTGCACATAATATTCAGTTTTTTTCCAAGGCAGTGAAATGCCAAGCTGCTGGGGGATATAAAGGAAAATCTCAGGAGGTTTTATGATTGGCAGATGATTCAATAGGGGCACATGTAAGGTGATCCACTAGAGAGGGCCAGATATTCCAAAGTGTACTTGTAGGCTGGTAAATTATGATCTTTCAATTAAGACCCAGGAAAGCGCTCTAAGAAACCTGGTGGACAGTCCCCTGAAGAGAATAACTTAGTGTCCAGCAATGAGGGGAAAAAAAGGCCAACAAAATGTTGGGCACTATCAAGAAGGAGATTAAAAGACAAACAAAATAATTTTCGTTTTACAGAGAACCACAGGACATCTTCATTGGTAATGTTACATAAGCAGTTCTGATCTGCACATCTCAAGGACAGAACAAAGCCTAAGGGGAACAAAGAAGGCCAATTAAATCATCAGTGACAGGCTCAACAATTTTTTCCAGCCTGACAAAACAGAGTTATCCGTGGGATACACTGAAGATTGTGAAGAGGCTGAATGACTGCAGGATGGCTTGCTTTACTAGGTTTCTTGAGCTAAGAGGCACCTTTGAAGTTTTTATTCCTCATAGTTCTACTCTGTTTACACAACTGCCAGTGATGGTGGCCAGTGCAAGCAGGCTCCTCTGGGAAGTCCCTGATTTCCACCAGCAATTGGGAGAAATGTGAGCTGGGTGGGGGTAGGGACTAAAAGTGTTTCCACCTGAACTGCTCACTTTCAGTGGGCTTAACTAGTGGACTTCTAATCAGATTTACCTTGGCCATTGCAACCATCAGCAATAAAAGCGTACCTCACCAACCTTAATTTTTATGAATATGAGTTTAACCTCTCTCCATTCTGTAGGACTCTCAACCCCAATCAATGGTCTACAAACCAAACTGTCTGCCTATATGTGTGTATGCTGGTAATTTTATTCTTAACTATAGGTTAAAAAGAAATTTGGGCTGGGGAGGAATGTAGCTTAGTATATACAAGGCCCTGGATTCTATCTCCAGCACAGAAACATTTTCTCCCCTCTAATCCTCCCTTGCTCTTTCTCAGCTTCCTGACTACAGTTTTGGTAGTGTGCATAGGTAGAACACAATAATGAATGGTAAATAATTAACATCAACTCTAATATTCATGCCAGTAGAGAAAAGCACATCTCTATGAGAAAAAACTGAAACAAACCCTATCAGGCTAATGAAACAACATACATGCAAGAAAATACCAGTGAAGGCATTCCCCAGGACAGCCTAGAAGCTTGTATTCTGGGATGGTATTTATCATACTGTGTAGCAGGTTAGGTCAAACCTCTTGTCTCTGGTCCAACTGTTTAGTGCTCTCCAACAGGGGATGGTTATCAGATTAAAGAAGCATAGTAAGTAGTATCTAAAAGCTATGTGAGCCAGGCATGGTGGCACCGTCCTTTAGTCCCAGCTCTTTGGAGTCAGCGGCAGACAGATCTCTGTGAGTTCAAGGCCAGTATGGTCTATATAGAGGGTTCTAGGACACCAGGACTACATAGACACACTGTCTCTAAATAAAACAAAAAAGAAAGAAAAAAGAAAAAGTAAAAGGTATGTGAAAATACAATGGTTTCATTTTCCAATTGTTCCTTGAAAACAAGAATTGTGAGACCTTTCAAAGATCCAATATACCTGAAGCTAGCTCAGTGTTACTGCCATACCTTTCACAGATGTGATAATACTTCTCATCCTGTATGCCATCCTGAATGGGCACATTGACACTGTAGTACCGTCCCTTCCCCAGGCCAACATCAGACATGTCACCTGTTCCTGTAAAAGACAAGAACAGTATGATCAGTCATCAGGAATACAAGCACTAGAAAACACAAAGGACTGTCCAAAAGCAATTTAGAATAGGAAAATGGGCAATTAAGACAACAATTCTAAATTCTTGGATGTTCCTGAGGAGATGAAACTATGAAAATAATCCAGAGAAATACTAATTTCAACAATGTTGTGGGAGGCACGAAAACAATAAGGAAACTGAGAAATATTAATTTATATCTTCCTGGATGAAATAAAATAATAAGAGCTAATATCACATGTCATTTGTAGTTATCAGAATTACATGTGGTGTGTGATAAAACAATAGGGTCTGTCTGTTGACAGGCCATAAAAATTACCTGGAATTTATTTAAACTATTCATTGTCATTCCCTTTGTCATTGTCACTTAAGGTGGTATGAGTTAAAATTTTGCATAGAATGGCACAAATAAGGTGTTAACAGTAAGAAATACATAAAAATAAGATATAAGAAACATGTAAAATAATTGTAGTATTAGACATGTAATGTAATGGGGAGCATGCAGTTGACTTGCCTGGGAAAAATCCTGGGGAGAATTTGTGCAGGGACACAGTCATTACTTTGGATGTAAAACTGAAGGCATCTTGTACACCTACCAGAGAGAAAAGTCAGAAGGATCACTGCAGATATGCAACTCCTGTTTTCAACACCTGAAAGTCTAACAAGTAGCTACCGGAAGGTGTGAGAAGGCAGCTGTAATAGATAATGAGTGGAAAAATAAAAGAACCCGAACTGCTGGTTTCTGATTTCAGTAATTACAGATGAGGTAGAACATAGCCCCAATCCAAGGCAAACTGTAAGTGAGCTTCTCCTTTCCAAACAACAGGACATCCAAGTTCACCCTAATTTCTATTCTAAATGGTATGAAAGATCAAGAACCCAGAACTGAGGCTCTGTCCACAGTACTGAGTATAGAAAAGTGGACCCAGCCAGGCAGGTTCATGGTCTGTATGTTTCTAGATAAATTATTGGGATTTTTTTTTTCAAAGAACTATAGTATGGTAATCCTTTAAAACGTTATCAGTAAGTTGGTGATTAGATTTTATTTAGTTAAAACTTAATGATGAGGTGCCTCTTTATAATACAGATTTGGTTATAAAAGTGGGTAACCCAAAGTCCCATAAGCACTAAGGAACTTACATATTTCTATTGAAAAAATAGTCATGGCCCTGTCCCTAACAGCTCCTGTATAGGAAGATGTTGCATTCTGTTTATTTATTTACTAAAACAAATGTTTGTATTTTGAAACTGCTTAAAGGAGTGATAGAAATATACAATTAAATGCTTGAAAACCAGGATAGTAATAAAACTTTAAAGGAGCTTGCTGTTCGCCCACTTCAAACTGGTTTGGTGTGTGCCCAGAGTAGGGGGCACCTTCAGTTGTTAATAGCCGCTTTAAAACCATTTTAAAGCCTGGAGGAAGATGGAGGGGGGAGCTTTTGTAGACAGATGTCTCCTTTCCTCTTAAACAGAAAATGAGGATGCCTGGGAGATAAAAGCTTAGATTCAAAGTAACCCTCAAAAGCCACTACTTATGGGTTGGCCATGCTGCCCAATGCTGCCCCTTTCCTCCCAGAATCTCAATCATACTCAGACACTCTGAAATGGAAGGACTATTAGCAAATCCAGGCCCTGTGCTCTTTTATATTACAAACAAAGATATTGTCTCTGTGTTGACTTAAATGTATTTGAGTCTTTATTAGAGGCCAACAGAGACCTTAAAAAAATATGAACTCTATTTGTATATAACAGGTATGTTTGAATTTCCCAAGCCTTGTGTTTTGCCCTAGGGAGGTAGTTAAAACCAGTTAAAGACTGCAGGCAGAAAGCATTAAGTAAACAAAATAAAATAAATGAAAACACCATTTCAACAGAGGTAGAAGTACTAAACAAGGGCACTTTATGAAAATGCTAATGATTTATCCACACAGAAATGTAGCAATTTACATTTCTACCAATCCTGTATGCAAATGCCTGCTTTCTCCTGTGATGACTAATGCTAGCAGTTATTTCTTTTAACTCTTAAGCAAAAGAATGGCTCTAAGTTGCATTTCTCTTAGTATTAGGACACTGAGCATCATTTCTTTTGTTCAGTGGTCATTTGCATCTTGTCTCACAGTAAATGCTATCAGGCATAGGTTTTTTTTTTTTTTAAATCATACTTTAAAAAGAACATATTGAGGCAGGAGATGTGGAGTTAGTATGAGAGAGAGGTTCGGGAAGGAAAGGTGAGGGTGGGTAGGAGTGGCTAGTGAAGCCACCACAGGATGCTAGTGATAGAATCATGGGAGATTTAAAATAAAGCAAATGTGTAAGGGGTAGGGCAAAGGTTACTGGAAGGGAGATGCTGAAGAGGGGAAATAAAGTGAAATGAAACACACCATAAAAGTTGGCTGAAACAGGAAACTCTAAATGGTGTAGAAATAACACTGCAAATGGAAAGAATGTTTTCAGGTGACAGTCTTAATTCTTTCTTACATGGTTCGGCAGAGTTAGTTCTACTGTTGAACTCTGGTACTAATACTCTGAATTCCATAAGCATTTGTTAAATCATAAAACAAGTAGTTTACTAAGTTGCTACAGATGTACAGTACTGACAGAAAGGAGTAAGCAATTGATCTCTGCTCTGGGAGAACTTAACAGTGTCTGGGGGGTAGAAAACATACAGAAATATCTTTAAATGAATAGTACAAAACAATACAACAAAAACAGTGATTGGTAATATAAACATTCAGGGATTCAGCCACACAAGAGTGCTCTTAGCCTGGAGTGGTCAGGATAAGCCACCAATGATGGAACCTGAATGAATAGGTAGAATGTAGGGCTGCAGTGAGGAAGAAGGTGGTTAAACTAGGGAAAAGGGAAGCAAAGTCAAGGAGGTAGCATTAGAGAAACATGTCCAGAACAGTGAGACATGCTCATCAAGTTAAAAAAAAAATAGTGAGAGATGGTTAGAAAGACGAAGTCAGGCTTATTTGAGATCTTAAAAGGTGAACTAAAGAAATTCTACTTTTTCAAGTCTGGTGGTGGTGGCTCACACCTTTAATCCCACCACTGGGGAGGCTGAGGCAGTCAGATCTCTGTGAGTTTGAACCTAGCCTGGTCCACATAGCAAGTTCCAGGACAGCCAGGACTACACAGGAAAACCTTGTCTCAAAAAATAAAATAAGAGAGGGAGGGAGGGAGGGAGAGGAGAGGGGTGGATCTACTTTTCCATAAGAATGTGGTTTCAAAACTAAAGTGTTTTTACAGTGGAGACTGACTACTTAGTCTGAGAATCTGACACCTGTGGCATAGTAATCTGCACTTAAACTCCCCCAGGTCACCTAGACGCACAGTCATCTATGGGAACCATTTCTCTAGGCTAGGAGTTATTGAAGTACATGGAGTTAGACAGTAAACATCCTAGGTACCCTAAACTACTTATGGCCCCTGCGTACATTTATATACACATCCAAATATGGATATGTATTGTACAACCTTGTTAAAAGTAAAAATGCACCAGGGAGGTGGTGGTGGCACATGCCTTTAATCCCAATACTCAAAGGCAGGCAGATCTCTGAGTTCAAGGCCAGCCTGGTCTACAGAGTGGGTTCTAGAACTACATAATGAAACCCTGTCTCAAAAAAAAAAAAAAAAAAAACCAAACCTAAAAATGAAAATCCATTCTTAGATCACTGGTCATATAAAAATAAGCCATTGTGACATGTTGACCCTTGTAATGGGCAATGAAGAGGCTACCAACATTTTAAATCAAGGTTGTGTTTCACCCTGGCAAGTAGTGAGAAATTCAAAGAGCATGGTTCTCAATGTGTATGATGTTGGTTTTAACCCTTTTCTAGCAATGTACTCCTATCCCAAGATTATATATGTTGGTAACACACACACACACACACACAAAAAAAAATCACTCCATGAACTAGTAGCCTATTGGTAGAAATTCCAAAATGTTGTCCTCCATATAGCCATTTTACCTTGAGTGAAACTGGTGAGAAGAGAGAAGACCATTACCTCTAACCCACGAGTTCCCCTAGAACCCATTCAAAGGTCCCAAAGTGGTTCCTGGACATTGGAGTAAACACGAGCAAGATTTCCCCATTCTTCCATCCTCTATTATAAAGTTTAGCTTCAGGAGACAGGCGAGAGGAAATGACAGGAGCCTGTCCGGCTTAGGAAGCAGAAAGGAACTGCCTTAGTCAGAGGAATCTATGCACCACCTACTCCAGAAATGACAATTAGGAAAATTTCAATTGCATGAAGCATTTCTCCTTTTATTATTTGCCTAAAAGTAGCTTTAGTGATCAAAACCTACTGTCCTAGTAGGGAAGTATCTTTTGAAACTGAAGGGCTTACCATCTCCATGGTGCAGATCCAAATCCACATAGAGAATACGCTCAAATTTCCGTCGCAATCTTAATATTCCCAGGACAGCATCATTGAGATAACAAAAACCAGATGCTTCATCTCTGCAAGAAAACAAGTTGCTACAGCCAACAACTGAAAACCAGTCCAAGGGATTCTTTCCAGCCAACCATCTAACCTTTGAGATCTAGTCCCACAAAGTCCCCCTTCTTTTAAGAAAAACAAAAATTCACCTATAAGGATTATATAGTAAATTGCTTAGAATGATCAGAAAATGAAATATTTCAATAAAGTAAATATTCAGAATGATGGTAATGTTTTCCTACTCACAATCCCAGTGATTTCAAAAGCATTAGATTATTATAACTATATTGAATAAAGACATTTCTCTGACAATTAGGGGATCATAAAAACAAAAAAACAAAAACGACCTTGTAGTCCCCTGAGGTCATAACGATAAATACTGATTTTTCACTTGTAGCACACTAAGGAAGCTGAGACCTAGGTGGAGCCTTAAAGACAATTTTTACAAAAGATGGAGATTGAGTTCTTTGTACAGACTGTATGATATACCCCACAAGCTGGTTATTATTTTTTATTTTAATATGCCTTGGCTCTAGTTACTCATGAAAACCGAGTGTAGAAAAAACAAATGCATAACTATTTCAGCACATTAATGTGGTCGCCTTTCCATGAATGTAATTTTATAATGAGTAGTGAAGATACCTTTGCTAAAGGTATTTTGCTTCACAAAAATCATTATCACTGACTTTACTGGAACCCTGTAATTTTTTGTATTTGTGCTGTCACTTTATCCTCTTATCAACATCCACTTGCTCTTTATTAGTCTTTTATTGAGCCTTGCTGATTAGATATAAAAGAACACTATCAAGGTTGTATTAGAACTTATTTTAAAGCATCATTCCAAGTGCCACAATTTCTTTTGCTTCCATAGAGACTTCAAATGTCCACCAACATTCTGTCTCCCATGATATTTTATTTGAAACAGAATTCTAGGCATGAACATTTGAAATGTTACCATTGCTACTGTGAGAAACCTTTCTAGTATCTATCTACCTAATGTAAAAAACTTCATGAAATCTCTTTCCAGTGAGATTCCGCATTCTAGATTCCACCATGTTCTGTTATGGTTCACATGCTGAATTGATGAAGATAGGTACAATGATGAGCAGCAAGCAAGTAAAAAAAAAAAAATCACTGGATACTGCTTGTGCTTCACTGAGGGAACACAGCAATTTTCCTAGCTAAATAGATTGCCCTTATGTATACAACAGCAAAGAAACCAAGGAAAGGATGAGTTCAACCACGAATTCAATTAAACGTGTAGGTCTCAGTGTTCTTGTTATTTTCTAGTTCTGAAAGTTTACATCTTATAAATCTTCTGTCTTAATACATAAAAAGAGTTAATGAACAACAAACACTTTTGAGCTAGAATAGTAAGTGCTAGGCAAAAGGAGAAAAGAGACAATGGGCATGAATGGTGAGGCCCTTAATACTGACAATTCTGAAGTTCTTTGTTTTCTGTGGGAATGTGTAAATTTTTCCTACCTTGCCAATCAGATCATCAAAATCTCATAAAACAGGGTATGGTGGTATACACATATAATCCCAGCAGTCAGTAGGCATGGCCAGCATGGGTTACATAGCAAAAACTTGTCTCATACAACCAAGGCCTGGAGATAAAACTTAGAGGTAGAGCAATGACTAGCATATACAAAGCTCTGACTTGGATTCCCATTATTAAAACAACAACAAACAAGCAAGCTCTTAGATTAAGGGACCTTTGTTTTGTATTGTTTGGAGGAGTTATTTGGTTTACACTTCCTCATCATAGTCCATCATTGAAGGAAGTCAGGACAGAAACTCAAACAAGACAGGAACCTGGAGGCAGGAGCTGATGCAGAGGCCATGGGGTGAAGGGTGCTGCTCATTTTTATTCTCATTGGCTTATAGAAATAAATACATATTTAGATAAGATTGCTAAAATTCCCACAAAATGAGGAAACTGAACTTTCAAAACTTCCAAGGTGCTAAAAAGTGATCTTTAAAAGCCTATCCTAGGGCCAGGTGTGGTGGTGCAATATCTCCAGCAGGCAGATCTTTGTGAATTCAAGGCCAGCCTGGTCTACACAGCAAGTTCCAGGCTACCCAGGACTACATAGTTAGACTATCTTGTTTTAACTTCTTTTTTATTTATTCTCTGTGGCTTTCACATCATGCATCTTGATCCCATTCATCTCCCCATCCTTTTGTATCTGCCTTCTGCCCTTACAATCTCCCCCTCCCCAAGACAAAATAAAATAAAACTTAAGAGAAAAGGGGAAAAAAGAAAAATCCCATCATGGAAGCTGTAGTGTGTCACACAGTATACCTTTTAGTCCATACATCTTTACTTGCAAATGTTCATTGCAAAGGGTCATTGGTCTGCTTTGAGACCTCTGGTTTCTGCCACACCATAGTTACTGGATCCTCACTGAGGCTCTTCTTGGAGATCCTATTTTTGCCTGGTGTTGTGGAGGTCTTGCAGCTTTGGGTCTGCAGGACCAGCCCCTTCATGTTCCCTTGCATATCATAGATTGGGTGGATGTTGGGGTGGGCCAACTCATAACTCTGGTTCTGGGCCTGAACCATTGCAGGGCTGGTCAGCCTGCCAGGTTTCTCTCATCCTCATCACCAGGGTGATCTCTCCAGCACTGTTCCAGGTAGTTCATCCTATGTGGCAATGAGCAAGGGACAGGGACAGGCTCTGCTTTTATGCCCTCTGGGCTGGCTCACTAACATCTACACCACCAGGGCCACTCTCCTGAGTGCTGTAGCTGGTGAAAGGCAGGGCAGGGGTGGGGGTGGGGCTCTCCCTTGTCACCTTATGACAGGTAAGAGGTGGGGCCAGATCTCCCAGGCTCACATTCTCAGGCTGGTTCACCTGTACCCTGTCAACAGTGTCAGCTCTACTGTGCTTCCCAGCTGAGGTGCAGGGATGAGGGTGGAGACATCTTTCTCTTGCCCCACCACATGGCAGATGAGGGGGGCATGGGCAACTATCCCACTCTCACAGGAGGGTCAGCTCCCTCATCTGCTACAGGTAGTGAGGGCTGAAGGGCGAGGGGATACAGTGGGATGCTATCTTAAAAAAGAGAGACAACTATTTTAAGAATTCAAGATCACATAATTTATGTAAATCTTTAATAATTAAGGATAATTTAATAATTTACTTACTAAAATCAGCTATATCTTATTTATCAGGTATAGGTATAATATACCGGAGTATTTTTAGTTTACTTAGATATGTTCTTCCTAAACATTTTACAGGTTTATTGACTGAACAAGCTAACATTACTTTTACCAAATGTGTAATAGTACGCAAAATGTGCATTTGTTTAACCAAATTGAGCCATTATTATGGAAAACTTTATTTCAACAGTAATTGTGTTTTGTATTCTATCAGCTTAAGATAATTTGTAAGGTCTTAAGGTAACTGAAAACTCTGGCTGATGCCTAATTTAATTATTTCTAAGGAAATGTTGAAGCATTAGCTTAGAACCTTGGGCTTATATGCATTGGCTTCTTATTTGTGCATGTGCATTTGAGTTTATGGTACATTCATGTGTTTATGTGTAATCATGTGCATGTGGAGGTCAAAGGTTGATGCTGGGTGTCTCAGTCTCTCTCTTTTTACTAAAGAAGGGCCTCTTGCATAGTTTGGAGCTCATAGATACAGCAAGTCTGGCTAGCCAGGTTGCCCTAGGGCTCTTCTGTTACCACCTCCCACCAAGCCTACCTGGCTTTTATGTGGGCTGGTGATCCAAACTCTGGTCCTTATGCTTAGGCAGTAAGCATTTCATCCACGGAGCCATCTCCCTAGATCTGCTTTTATTTTTATAAGTTACAGAAAGCTATATTTAAGTAAGTTAAATGATGTGTTCTTTTTGCCACCATAGAGAGATGTTGTACTATAGATGATAATGCATGCATTATAAAGGACACAGAAAGTTATGGAGGGTTCACAAAAGAGAGTTTTATTTGTTTAGATCAAAGCTGGCTCTATTTTAGCGTGTGGTTTATAAAATTTCTGACAAGATCTTTAATTTCAAGCGTACTGATAAAAAAAACTAACATTGTTATTTCTGTGTTTAAAAGACAAAGAATTTTGGATTCTTAATCTGTTCTTAACAGCAAGCTGGGAATGGCTTGCCTTACCTTCTGGAAAATCTTAGATAACAAAGATTCTGTGTCTTCTCACAATTATCTTCCATGGTCTCCTACCTTCCCCTCCCACTGACCTCATATATGGTAACCAAACCCTCTTCTTGGATTATGTTCCCATATTTCTCTATTAAGAGAGCAAAGTCTTCTCACTTATGAAACAACTAAGGGCTTTAGGTTTTACCACTACTTTGCTTCTATACTTATATGGAAAATGTTTCACTGTTACTTGGGTAGAACAGACAGCCAAACATTATTTTTAACAACCCTTCATCCTATCTTAATCAAGTCTCAGAGGGCCAATAGGAAAAAACCACAAAGGATTTTTGTCTGACCTCATAAAAAGAGAGGCACCAAGACTGTTAGCTTTGTGTGGTGTTATTATTGCAGCATCACACAGGTAGAGAGCCATCAAGTCAGAAGTGGTGATTTGCCTCTCTTAGGTTAAAATGTCAAAATGTTAGCAATATAAATATTTCAGAAATTGTATGCTGTATGAGATCATCCATGTCTCCCCTAGCCATGATATGTTTCTATTTGTCAGAGTTCATCTTGCTGCTTTGTCAAATGTTAGACAAGGAGAGGATCATAAGCCTTACCCATCTGTGAGGACTACATGCCAACAATCCTAGTGGGTCCCTGAAACCCTGGAAAGTAAAACACACTTCATATATAATGTTTTTATGTATGTATATATGTATGTATGTATGCATTCGTACACACACCGCATGTGTGTGATACATTGCAATGATAAAATCCAAATTACAAATGAGGCACAATAAAAAAATTAATAATAATATCAAAATGGGACATTGATAAAAATGCACTTATTTTACCTATACAGGTACTTTTCTTGCATGGCCTATCACCCACTGCATAT